CACTTTTGGCCACCACTGTATATGTGTGTGTGTGTGCGTGTATGTATGTTTTATTCTTTTGTATTAAATTTCTGACAAGGATTCTCTGTGCTTATATGTACTAACGAGTCTGCACTATGAGTTATAATACGAGGGTACCAAATTGAGTTCACCACTGCTTGATCTTAGACCGCTGGTGTCAAAAAGACTTTTTTTCATTTATTATGCCATCATTTCTGAAGATAAAATCACATTATCATGAATATGTGATCATGGGGTTACAGATCCAATAAATTCATTCAACACAAAATAGCAATCCATTTAACACACTGTCTGTATTATGTAGTAAACTTTCTTCAATTTTTTTTGTTGTTGCTATGTTTATTTTTAAATATATTTCAGCATTTTTGTTCTTTTGTTGACATTTTACAGCTCTATTTTCTGTTTCTTATTAATTATATAAGAAACTAGAACAATGCTAGTTTGTTTTCTTTTTAAAAATCAACATATTTTTTTCTGGTTTCTTAGATGCACAGGAAAGTATTTTCAATCAAACTACTCAGCCTTTATCACAATACTCTGCAACAGATGATAACGAGAGCAGATCTGAAGAAAAAGAATTACCTGCTAATAAATTAGAACTTTCAGGTATCATTTTTCAGGAACAATTTTTTAGTGCAATAATTATTTCTAGATTTGGTATGTTTAATAGAAAATACTTTTATTTTAAAAGTAAGTGTGTTGAGCCTTTTAGAATAGAATTTTATTCCCCTCATGGCTTTCTAATTTTGTCAAAACTTCTTTCCTCTGTAGTAATAGCTAATGGCATGAATTATGTATTCTTTTGAAAATTCTTATGTATATAAATGCGTGTGTGACAGTTGAGCCGACCTAGTAATAAATGCAAGCTGATGCAGGTTGGAAGTGCTATGCTTTCTTTATTATGGTATATTCATATATTAAGTATCATATGCACAGCTAGATCTGTGTTTTTTTCTTTTTATGTTAAAGATTTTCAGGGAAAAATCAATTTTGTTCTTGTTTATTTTATTTTACTTTGAACACTTTTTTTGACGTAGGGTGTAAGGGTACTTTTGTTCTGAGTTCAGGGTCAAGTTGAATTCACTCGGTGATGTGGGAAAGTACTTATTGTTTTGATTTACGCCCGTTTCTTTCTTCTTTTTTTTTTACGCTAAAACTGTTTATAAAAAGTTTTTGTTTTTCAATAATATCATTGATTGAATATGAATTTTTTGAGTGCTTGAAAACTTTTGTGAAGTGCTTGAAAAGTTTTTAAAAAGTGCTTATTTTTGATTCGGAGATTTGGCTACGCACCCTGAATAGTGTGAGCTGATGAAAAGATTACATCTTTTATTTTCTGGATTTTATTAATTTTTTCCCCTGTTGTCCTGTAATTTTTTCCATGTTTTCACATTTTGAACTTATTTTATGAGTTCGATTTACTTGCTGCTTATGCTAAGTAAATAAAACTTATTCTTTTTCTTAATTTTCTTCGTGTTTTTTTTCCTTTTTGTATTTATTTATTATGCTATATATATAAAGTGTTAATTATGGTTATATATTAAAAGCAATTGAAATAAATTCAGAAAGTAAGATCGTAAACATACCTGAAAACAGTTTTTATTGAAAATAATAAATGAATGATATTTTTGTTTTGTAAATTTTTTTGACTGTTAAGTCAACCAACAAAGTATGCATTGAGTCCAAAGCAGGAAAAGGATTTTCGATAGTGAATGGTACCCCAACCACCCTCTATCTCTTTCAGGTGTTAATGTGATGTGTGTGGTCATGATCAGCTTGTAACATTGAAGGAAATGAAATCAGATAGGAATGTTTTATCTGTGACTTCTTAAGAGATAAGGGAGGTAATTCTAAGAAAGGAAGCTCTTGGGGTGGTCAGCAGTGAGTCTTCTCTTGTCAGAAAAAATGGCAAAATATGATAAAATAAGATTTTTTTACATTATTTGAAAATTAATAATTAATGGTGAAAATAAGGTTGAAATTTGGAGAAAAAAATCGTTTTACAATGGTTTATTGCTTCAGACAATATCGTAATATTGAAAGGAAGCTAACATTAATTCATATGCAAGTTCTTCGAAACCACAAAACATTATCATAATAGAGGGAGTTATTGTTATATAAGATATTGTAGTAGCGAGAGTTCACTGTGTATCTATCTATCTATCTATCTATCTATCTATCTATATATATATATATATATAGTATTAAATTTCTGACAAGGATTTTCTGTGCTTATATGTACTAAAGAGTCTGTACTATGAGCTGTAATAGGAGAGTACCAAATTGAGATCACCACTACGTGTTCTTAGGCCACTGGAGTCAGAAAGGTTTTTTTTTTCATTTATTATACCCAGACTTGTGAAGGTAAAATCTCATTATCATGGATATGTATATGTGATCATGGGGTTACAAATCCACTAAATTCATTCAACACAAAATAGCAATCCATTTAACGTGCTGTCTGTATTTGTAGTAAACTTTCTGCATTTTTTTTTTTGTTGTTAAATTTATTTTTAAAAATATTTTTGTAATTTTATTAATTATATATAAAACTATGAAACAATACTAGATTGTTTTCATTTTAAAAATCAAAATATTTATTTCTGATTTCTTAGACACCCAGGAAAGCATTTTCAATCAAATTACTCAGCCCTTATTACAATACTCTGTTACGGATGATAACGAGAGCAGAGCTGAAGAAAAAGAATTACCGTCTAATAAATTAGAAGTTTCAGGTATAATTTTTCAGCAATAATTTTTAGTGCAATAATTATTTCTAGATTTTGTATGTTAAATAGAGAATACTTTATTATTTTAAAAGTGTGTGTGTTAAGCCTTTTAGAATAGAATTTCATGTCCCTCATGGCTTTCTGATTTTGTCAAAACTTCTTTCCTCTATAGCAGGGGTTTCCAACTGGCGACTCGCGGGCCGCATCTGGCCCGCGAACTAAAATATATTTGTTGTTATTTTTTTACGGACAATTTTTGTAAAAAATCTATATGAGTTTAAAATACTTTTCTTGTTAATAAAAACCTAATCTCTTCGTTTCTGTGAAATTTAACATACCAAGGGCGCAAAGAAATTTATTTCTCAGGTTTTGCACCCAAAAAAATATTTATTCGTGTAATAATCGTGTACGTTGCTCTTTTTTTCCAATTTTTTGTATTTTGTGAATATAATTTAGCATGTGCGTATCAGAAATTTTCTCGAAGATATTCTCTGATTTAACTTTTTGAAACCACTCATTTTGGACGAAAATATTTACACACACATTTGTAAATTTAAAATGTAAATATCTGTTCACTGATGGTTGCAGCAGACAAGCCTCAATTTTCTTATTGAATATTTTGTGTGCTACTATGTAAGTTTTAATACCAAACTTTTTAAAATTTTATATCTTAACAATTAGATATCTGTTGCACATTAATTGTTTATTACATTGGTGCACATTACAGTTATTGTAGCCCAAATTTTTTTATTTATTTAATATTTTTTTAAATATTATTAATAACAATTAAATATTTTTAAAAATCTTCTTATTTTAATTTGTAATTCAATACTTTTGTTTTGTACAACTTGGTAAAAGACTGACAGTAATACTTAATGTTCCTTCAAACATAAAAGAGTCCTACATGAAATTTTAATAAAGTTGCGGCCCACCATTTGATTTGTGTTTTTAATTGTGGCCCCCGGCCTCATGTAAGTTGGAAACCCCTGCTCTATAGTAATAGCTAATGGCATGAATTATGTATTCTTTTGAAAATTCTTATATATATATTAATGTGTGTATGGCAGTCGAACCGACCTAGTAATAAAGGCAAGCTGATGCAGCTTGGAAGTGCTATGCTTTCTTTATTATGATATATTTAAATGTTGAGTATCAAATGCACAGCTAGATCTATGTGCTTTTCTTTTCATGTTTTTCAGGGAAAAATCTTAAGGTGTCATATCTACCATATGTTACAAGGGAAAAATTATTAATTGTTATTGCCTTTCACTATCTAAGTCACTTAGTTTTCCAGAATCTCTGACTTCTTAAGGAAAAAACTTATGATTATTTTCTCGAAAATATCGTGATTTTCATTTTATAATCTTTTTTCTCAATAGGATGTAAATTAATAATTATGTGAAAGAGTTTACTTAAAAAAAAATGAATTCAAACAAAAACATAATGTAAAAAGTGTATATATACCCTGGTGTAAGAAGTTAAGAGAATTTACAGACTTGGTTGATTGTCTCTAGAACTATTGCACTGATTTTAATTTAATTTGATGTGTACATACATTAATACAAAGCAAAGCCAATAACCATTCAACAATTGTAATACACATGCATGATCGTGTGTAACACTCGTTGGAGTCGGAATGTATGAAACAGCCGTTGTTGCATAAACAAAAAAGAAAAAATGGGCTAATTGGGGTATGGTCCCCTCTTACTGATATACAGGCCTTGCAACATGATTTCATACTTGAAATAAAGCAGTTTATCATTTCCTGTTGCACTAGGTCCGACTTGTTCAGCAACACAGTTTTCATTCGCTGGATCGTTGGAGGGGGGGGGGTAGCGAGTTGCAATTGCATGCTTTCTGTATTTGTAGTAAACGTTCTAAATTTTTTTCTATTGCTACATTTATTTTTAAATATTTTTTAGTATTTTTCTTTTCTTAACTAATTTATGGCTCTGTCTTCTGGGTGTAATTTTATTAATCATATATATAACTAAAATAATGCTAGTTTGTTTTCATTTTAATAATCTAAATATTTATTTTTGGTTTCTTAGACACACAGGATAGTATTTTCAATGAAAATACTCAGATCCTATTACGAAACTCTGTAACGGATGATCAAAGGATCAGAGCTGAAGAAAAAGAATTACCTGCTAGTAAAGTAAACCTTTCAGGTATCATTGTTTTATAGAATCTTGTCATTATTTCTTGCTATGATGGAAAAAGACAGTTATTTCTGTTTTGGATTATCAAATAGGTGTTACATTCTGTTTGAGTGTTATTGTTTCTTGTACTTAGATATACCAGTTTTAAAGTAACTGTAAAAATGCTGTAGAGATAAAAAAATTTCAACCAGCACCTGCAATTACCTATTTTAGAAAAACTGTTTGGCTGAAATTAGACTAATTCTTTAAAATAAAACAAGACTGAGCCTGTTAAGAATTCAATGTAAACTAGATACAATTACTATAATAGTCATTAAAAATATTTTGGTGGAATTCTCCAGAGAATTACACAAACACAACTAAAGTATCTCATACAAATTAACTTCTAAAAAGCTCTGGAACTAATCTCCATGTTAAATCAGTGATTTTTTCCATCAACCAAGAGCATATGGGAAAGTCTATGATACTGGAATGCAAAGTAGGGTTAGATCAAGAAACGACCATTCTTTCTGCGTCTAAACAGGCCTTTATCCTGTATCCATTCCTGTAAGTTTTCGATAATACGAGGTAGGCTCAGTCCCGTTCACTTCATGTTATCGAGACTCTACTGTATATATATATATATATATACAGTACAGATCCCGTTATCCGGAAATCAGAAAACCGGAAAACCAAAAAACCGGAACGAAATTCGATAAATTTTCCCGTCATTTAAAAAAAAAAAATTTTTTTTCCTCATAAGATCTTAGGATTTTTCTTTCTTTTTGGAAAGATGTTTACCTTACTATCATTTTGGAAATAATCATTAGTGTATTACTTCGTTTTTTCTTCTTTTTAAGATTATTTTCAAATATTATTTTTTTTAGTTGGGTTTAACAATTAAAAAAAAACGGTTTTTTGTAGCGATTCAGAAAACCGGAAAAATCAGTTATCCGGAATAGCGATGGTCCCGATCGTTCCGGATAATCGGTTCCCTACTGTATATATATATATATATATATACAAAGAAGAATTATAAAATAAAATAGAAATTAATTTTTTTATTATTCATTCTTAGAATAAATTCTAATAGATTAAATCTTAATAGGGTGAATTATTTTTAACCTATTCAGGACCAATGAGGGGATATAGAAGCCCCTCCCAAGGCTTACATGTTGCTACAGTATATGTACCAAAGAATATGTGTGCGCATATTGACTTAATTTTTAACAAGAATTCTAAAAACAAATACCTTAATCCCTTGAACGGTGGTGAACGGTAAAAGAAGCGCTTCTACATGTCCTCAAACTCCTTGTTTATGTGTAATAAAGAGTAGTGTACTAGTTACTGGAGTCAGAATGACTTGTTTCATTTATGATACTATTGCTTGTGACTGGAGAATCGCATGATCACATTTAAGTGAGCATTGTCCAGAAAGGGTTAAAAATCCATGAAATTCCTTCAACATAAAATAATAGTCTATTTAGCATTTTTTACTTGTAATAAACTTTCTACATTTTTCCTGTTGCTACATTTCTTTTAAGTACCTTTTAGTGTTTTTCTTTTGTTAACTTTTTTATGGCTCTGTTTTTTGGGCATAATTTTATTACTTATATATATGGAACTAAAATAATATGAGTTTGTTTTTATTTTAATAATTAAAGTGTTTATTTATTTATTTTTAGATACAGAGAAAAGCGTTTCCGATGAAATTACTCAGCCCCTATTACAATACTCTGTAACTAGTGTTAACGAGAACATAACTGAAGAAAAAGCTTTACCTGCTAAAAAATTAGAATTTTCAGGTATCATTGTTTTGTGAAATCTAGTAAAAAATATCAATGTTTTTTTTTATGATCCATGTGTAATTGAAACAATTATACATAGTATAGAAGATTATTTTTTCCTTAGTTACCCAGAAACATGGCTTAGAGACGAGTATAAATTCACAAAGGAAAGGAACTAGTGAGAGTGATGAAGATGATTCTATGACTCTTTTTGGTAATGTTTTTTATCTTCCTAATCTGTTTAAAAATATTAGCAGTTATTTTATAATTCAAATGTAATTAGCAACATTGTACAAACTATGGAATATTATCTAGTTGATTATAAGGTACACTCTTTGTATACGAATAAAGCTAAACAATGTAAATAAAATGCAAATCATGCTATACAAACAGACATTCTATAGTTTCGGTTCTATAAACAAGAACTTCCTCATTGTTAAATAATTAAATGATAGAGACACTCTAGAAGAATCTTAATTGTCAAACTGAAACTATAGTATGTCTGTTTTTGTGGCATTATTTGTGACATTTTCTATAAATTTAGCTTTATTTTTTAGCTACATTTGCTGTTTCTTGGTGTAAACGAGATTTTCTGAGTTAGCTCATTTATCTTCCTTTGTATTATTTCTATCATTCTGTGTTTCAGCACTGAGTAAAGAATTTTGATTATAGAACTAAAGCAATTTATTTGTTTTTTGGTATAATTAGTGCTTTATTCACATTGTATAGTTTCATTCAAAGAACAATAATATTCTCCAATTTATAATACAGAATTATGTTGACAAGAGCTGCAGAATGCGGTTGAAGAAAATTTTTGGATTAAAATCAATTGTACATTAATTTTATTCTAATTGAGTGTGCACTGGCTTATAATTATTATTATCAACTTCAATTATTTTTTATTTTTGTATTTTTAATTTCTTAAATTTTTTTTTCTAGGTTCTGGTGATTTATTTCCTGGTGGTGATTCTGAAATTTCTTTTCAAGAAGATGTTGTATCTCAATCTCCCAAAAATTGTGGTAAAATATCTACCTATCTCTCTCTCAATATGTATTTATTTATGTATTCAGTAAGAGCGTAGATTATCCACAGATGTATATTATGGGTGCCTAGGGCACTTCTTATAACAGAAATGGATAATCTGAAAAACTCAAAGTAAGGGACAAACACAAAAAATAATTTTTAAATGTATTTATACGTGTGTATATATTTATAAATATAATAATTTTTTTTCTTCATGCTATTAAGTGAGGAATGGAAGCCATAAATAATTATTGAAGTGAAAAAATTAAACATAGTTTTCATATAAAATAATTTGGTTCCACTACCTGCAAATTTTACTTGCATTCACCTATTATTCTATTATCCAATATGCAAATTGAATGGGGTTGACTGTATTAATCAGAATTAAGTTTATGTAATTCTTAGTCCAAATATCCTTATACATAGTTCAGAGAAAGTAGCTGGGTGGCGCAGTTGGTTTGTCATCGGCCTTCTGAACCCAAGTCTGTGAGTTCGATCCCCGGCCCAGACACCAGATTTTTGGGATGCAGAAAATCCTCATCGACCGTGTCGTATGATTATGCGGCATGTAAAAGATCCCTGGAGTGCCTTATTGGCTCTTGGCATTTCCAGCAAAATTAAATTCCTAGTGCACTTTAGCGTCCAAATAGAATCGCGGTGCTGCCATCTAGTGCGTCAGAAACTAGACGTCCATATTAACATGACCAACGGTATCTCACCCATTGTGGTGGTCCTGAAAGAGTGGATACCACCTCTGGAGAAGGTCACTAGGTCTGCTCATCGGCAAGACTGATTGTGCAGCTCATTGGAAATAAAAAAAATGAAAAAAACTTCAGAGAAAAGTTTTGATTATACAAGTTTACAAAGGAAAGACACTAGCTAGTTTTTTGTAGATTCTACCTAGCACTAATTTGGCTATCATATCAAATTTTTCAATTTTATTTTAAAAATATTATCAGTTATTTTGCATTTCACATGTACTTTGCATGATTGTTCTAACTGTATAATATTATTTTTTACCTAGATATTCAGGAACATAGTTTAGAGATGAGTGATAGTGGTACAAATTTACAAGAAAAAGAAATTTTTGAGAGTTTTGAAGATAATTCTGTCACAGTTTCTGGTATATTATTTCTATTCTTTCTGATTTTGATTTAAAAAAATATCGGTTATTTTATAATTCATGTGTACTTAGCATCACTGTACAAATAATAGAATATTTTTGATGAAGATAAGGTAAACCACAATGATGATGAAGATAAGGTATACATTGTAACTACATATGAATAAAGCTAAACAACGGGAATAAAGCACAAACAAGGCCACAAAAGCAGACATACTATAGTTTTGGTACAATAAGCAAAAACTGCCTCTGTGCTGAATCATTAAGTAATAGAGACGCTGGAGAAATTTCTTGATTGTAAAACTGAAACAATAGTTTGTCTGTTTTTGTAGTATTATTTTTTATTTGTGCAACTTCAATTATTTATAACACAAAGTAAACCTTGTTTTGATTTCAATAATATATATATGTGTATGTATATATATGTATAT